TATCGCTAACAAGTCACAGACACGTACTGTAGAATAATCCTAAGCCCAACTACTACACAGTATATATTTATACTATTAAGAAATATAAGTAAAAGCCATTTATTTCGACAACTGGCAAAAAAGAAAAACCAGAACCCATACAGATATATATATATATATTTTAATCTGACACTAATGTTGGTAGAGAAAGTGTTACCAGAACTCCAGGATATCAACTAGCTCATGCTGATAGAAAGTATTGACTTTATGCCCTGTTCCTGTCTTTGAAGTCATTATTTCTTAACTCAATATTAGTTGTTTCATTGGTTACTAGTTCCCAGTTTCTTAACCCAATATTACAGTTGTTTGATTGATCACTAGTTCCCGGTTTCTTAACCCAATATCACAGTTGTTTCATTGATCACTAGTTTCCCGGTTTCTTAACCCAATATTACAGTTGTTTGATTGATCACTAGTTCCCAGTTTCTTAACCCAATATCACAGTTGTTTCATTGATCAATAGTTTCCCGGTTTCTTAACCCAATATCACAGTTGTTTCATTGATCAATAGTTTCCCGGTTTCTTAACCCAATATTACAGTTGTTTGATTGATCACTTGTTTCCCGGTTTCTTAACCCAATATTACAATTGTTTGATTGATCACTTGTTTCCCGGTTTCTTAACCCAATATTCTTACATCAGAGTTCTAATGTTCGCAAAGTAGAATCCGTACATTGAGACACAACATTCCTCTGCTCGTTAGAACATATGGAATGGTACATGTGTGATAGACGTAGCAGTCATTACGTTTCTTAAAACCAATTATTTACTAGGAAGTGTAATATTAAACTACACAAATGTAAAAAAAAAACAAAAAAAACGCAATACATATCGATTAAAGCGGGGGTTCCGAAACTGGGGGATGCGTACCACCGGAGGGGGAGCACATAAAATAAATTATATTGTTAGGGTACTCAGTATCTAAAGTATGATTGGGTGGTCTCGGTCAGAATGCGGAATGTTGTTGTTTGGGGGACGGGCGGGTCGAATCTTGTGGTCGAATGTAGTGCTATCTATTGGATAAGATTAAACTACTTATAAATATCGTTTTTTATGTGTGATTTAACTAAAACTATAAAAAAACAGTAATTAAGTCATAAACTGAATGTTAACTTTATTCGTTTTTTCTGCAGGGAATTGAACCCCGAATTTTAGCGTTGCAAGTCCGTAAACGTACCACTGTTCCACTGGGGGTTAATTTTACTGGAACAGCATCATTATAAAATACTATTTTGGTAAAGACAGTTTACGATAACAGTGGTATCTTCTAATATCACACAAGGGCTATCTGCGCAATGCTGTCCTAATTTTGAACTGATACACTATACGGAAAATAGTAAACAGTACCCACCGCCAACTGTTGTATTTTGACACCACTATTAGAGCACACCCACAATCTCAATCCACTGCTTGATCATATTGATCTAGATACTTCCTGAACGCTTGAAATACAGGGTATTGAGAAATTAGATTAATCTGTATATGCTCGAATGATAGGCGTGTTTAACAGACACAACACTTGTAATACCGTTCATTACCGGTAGGGATCCACATATCGCTCATACTAAGTAATTTCATGTTACAGTCTGTTATTAAGGACCACCAACAATGTGGTACATAAAAAGATCAGACAAATAAGTTTGAAAATGTCAGGTTTTAGGGCTAAAGCTGCTTGAAACAAGTTTTTCTTAGTCTTTACAAATTGCTAAACTGATTACTATTATTAATTTGAGCTTTTGAAACATGTTTCAGTGAAACATCTATTAGGCTACAGGAAACGCCTGTGAGATGCTGGTTATCAAGGTTGAAATAAAGATGTTTAAACAAAACAGGTTTTATTCACCAACAGAGGTAGCTGTTAAACATATATCATGATAAATTCAAGCACAAGGGGACGCTTAAATCCATTATCATGATCCATTTGACGAAAACAAACTTTTGTCATTAACATTACAAAAAGTCTAGACGAGTAATAAACAACACCATCAACAACACGAGTTAAAGAAACATGTACTAGAAAATAGCTTTAAACAGGTTTCGACAAAGTTGAATTAATTCATAAATAGGACGATATCTGTGACTCTTTGTTTAAAAACATTTTTAATTATGACAACACATATGTACAGTATCTACTGACCAATCCATTACATCAATAACCAGTAATAATATAAACACTCCGGTGTATATAATAGTAACAATACCGTGATTCCATACCAAGCCCTACAATGCGACCTTACCTAGGATTGTAGTTCTATACTGTGGCCTACCTAGGATCGTAGCCTTCATGCTACAGGTTTATCAGAGGTCAATGTGTGGTGATGAGTTAACAGATACTGTGCTATATTTAGGGTTAAGCAAGGCTAATGACAGATAACCACACCAAGATCAAACCTTGCAGAAAGCTTTACAGCAGAAACACTTTAAAACAAGTTGAAATTCTGAAATATATATATATATATATTCGTATATTAACTTCGTATGTAGACTTCAATAAATGTTTTATGTTGACAGGTAAAACTCCAAACTAAATATTAGCATCTATTTCTCTGAAGGAAAACATATTACTCGATTCCTGTCTTTTTTTGGGTTTGGTAACCACACTCAGAGGAACAATACTTGAGTCAATAAGTTTTACACAATAGCATAAAATAAACGTGCATCAATGCTGGGTTCAAAGGTCCTCTCACGATTCACAGAGGCCCCAATGTACCAATTAAGTTTCTCTGTTATTCCCGATTATTTCTTTAGCTACCCCAAGTGGTTTACGTACCTAAAAACAAACCCCATTATGGCATCTGCCCATATTTGGTTCTGCTAGTGGAGGTATAAATACAGTTTCATACATGGTGCCCAAAGGCAACAACAAACAGAAAATCCAATGGCAGGTTAGAATTCAGTGACAGTAAAAATCCCCCACCACCATGCCTTGGCAACTTTCCAGGTGCCATATAAATAAGGTCATTCCAAGACCACTTTCTAAGTTTGGTTATGCTAGCTCCAAAACTCTGGAAAGTGACCACTTGCTAAGTGTGGTTATTGTGAGGAGACCACTTGCTAAGTGTGGTTATTGTGAGGAAACCACTTGCTAAGTGTGGTTATTATGAGGAGACCACTTGCTAAGTGTGGTTATTATGAGGAGACCACTTGATAAGTTTGGTTATGCTAGCTATAAAACTGTACACATAGATCTTTATTTTAGTCTTCGATAGCAATAAATGAACTTTCTTTCACTGCTAACATTTTAAGCCTTCAAAACTTTATTCTGGTTCTGAATGCATTATTAAGGGTTATCTTAAGAACATCACAGCTACAATGGTATAGGAGATTACACCCAATCATATTTGGTCACAATTCAAACACACCACTGAGATGTAAGGTACATTACAACGGATCCATTAGTAATGGAATAAATCAAGCAATTCCAAAACAATAAAAAATATTTTTTTTGCAAATAAGAGATATTAATCCTTGCCTTGTCAATTACTTTAGATAATTCTCTCAGAGTTCATTCATATATTCAATTTCACATATTATGGGATTCCTCATTTATACAAATCAAGAATATCATACATTAGATTCTTTATAATTTGTTTTGTCTATTAAATGTCAAGAAACTTACAGTAAAATGGTAAAGCTTAGCTGCTACTCCTTTTAAAAACAGTACTGTTCTTGTTCCTTCTCTTGAAAATGTATACCTTTGACATTTAAAAACCTGTGTCACCCCCACCCCCCACCACCCCCCCATTTGCCTCGAGTTTGAACAAATGGTTCAAATTGATAATGAGTATTTATGACTGAAGCTTCTGTATTTCATATCTGGTTTCACATAATTTTTCACAGCTACTAAAAGCATCTGTAGGTAGAATTAAAGTTTACAAAATCCTAATACTTATGTGGAGTGAAATATTTTGTATCTATACTTCTACCTCATCATCAGCAGGTTGTTTATCGACAAACCTTTTCAAATAAGCACGAGATACTAAACCAAGCATGCAGAATGATGCATGGAATGTTTAGATCAAAATTATGAAAATTCATATACCACCCCCTCCTTCAGGGATTTGAAATAAGGCAATGTCTAAGAGTCTTTTTAGATTTTTTTTTTTTAAAGAAAAGACAACATACACGTATCTTGTTCACCAGTATAAAAACTTGACATTTTCTTATTCTACTAGAAGTACAATCAATACTAGTTATCAAGAGAGTTGCTTTGTCAGGGAGTTATTTTTCAAAATCTGTTTTCTTACTGTTCCTTCAGTTTTATAATTTATGTAGTGATATAAGCTACAACAAGTTTGTTGGTTGGTTGGTCCTCTCTATATCTTTTCAGCAGGTTGCTACAATCTTAAATGTTTTATTTTGTGAAGTACTAAATAAAACAAACTTTTATCTGTCAATTATCCAACAAGTGCTAAAATGTAAAACAAGAGATAAACTGCATAACATCAAATTAACCTTCAAAACCTACAGTAAAACTAAGTTTCTGAGCAGGCAACGACACCAAACTACTAAAGAGGAGCAGTGAACCCTGAAAATCCTTATGGTACATGTCTGGAATGGAACTTGGGCAACGGAAAAGATTTTCACTCTCACCGTTCTTCTCTTCCATAACATGAAATCTAATAATAAATTATCTACAGTTTATGATTTATTTCCCAGTTATTTCCCATATGGTCTACAAATCCACTTCAGTATCAAAATAACGGAAGTGTCTTAAATCATTTGGATGCAACTTCTCAATCACACGTATGAGAAAAAGTTTTGTGATGTGTTTTATACAAGAGAAAAACAAAACCTGAACTCTAAAAGCTGTCATATCCTTTTGAAATACAGGCATTATTTTACAAAAATCTCTTCTGTATTTTATTTACAAGCATTTTGAAAGGACAAAAGAAGAATAGCAATTGCATAAAATTTAATTCTTTGAATAATTATAAAAAATATACACAACAAAATACCAAAAACCCAACACATTTGGTGTATTTATTATCATAAATAAGTATAGGACCTTTTATACAAACAACATTATACAAATTTTATACTCATCAGAACTGCATGAGAAAATCTCTTTGTATTCAAACATCCTGCACATATCAACATAACGTCATGTTTTTCCCCTGGTTCATGAAAAAGCAAAAACAAAACCTCACCGATTCAGAGCTATTTACTGGTTAGATTTAGAAACCGCAATAGCCCGTTTATATTCTCTTGCTAGTTCTAGCCTACCTCAAAATCATGAAATATAGCCATAAAAACATTTATTTAGGCTATTTTAATTTAATATAAAGTTAACCCTAACAAACCAATAAAATATTGTCCCTGTTAAGAAAAAGCTACTTGAATCTACTTATATTCCCAATACAAAAATCATTATTAGAATAATTAAAACTTGTCAACCCCAGCAACAAAATTAATAGTTCCTAACACATTCATATTACCACCACTTACATCATGCTTCCCCTGAGGATCATGTAAAGATACAGATATACCACCACTTACATCATGCTTCCCCTAAGGATCGTGTAAAGATATAGATATACCACCACTTACATTAAGCTTCCCATGAGAATCAGGAAAAGATACAGAAATGATTTCAGGTTACTTCCTCCCACACTAACACGGATGTTCCAGACCTCAAAGACTAGAGTGTGTGTGTACACCAGTTCTTTTTAGAGCATAGAAAGTTTTTCTTTATGATACTGATTCTTTAATTCATAAGACCAAATGTTCCAATATCATTCAAAGTTTGGAATTTTTAGTGAAATAAAACAATGTTGCCAATTAAAACACTTGACATTTACTAAAGAAATAAATTATTGTCATACTAAAATCTGTGTAAAATATATTGTGGAATGATAGAAGTTATGTCTGCAATAAACCAAATCAAATGCTGATTTTTTTCACAATAGTGACAAAACAAACCATTTTGGCACATTCAAGAAATCCCCCTCATTTGCAGACAATCATGACACTATCAAAAGTACAACTTGCAAAATACAAAATCACTGACATGCCTACCCATAAGGCACATTCCAACTTCAGAAAGTGACGACAGTATCAGATAAAGCTAACAAAATTATATCTCTCATTCAGACATTTTCTTCTACTTTGATTTACAACAAAAATAAATTGAAGTGAAAAAACAAAATAACTATTTAAAATAAAAATAAAAACTGAAATTTTTCTTATTACAACTTAATTAAAAAAAAAGCTTTCTTTAGACCTGCATGTTCACGAAGTTGCAACTCTCATAACCGAATAGAGGGTACAACTTAAAGAATTATTATTTAGTAAATCAGATAACCATGTGGAGGATGTTTATCACATACATAGAGATGTCCTTTCTTTGGAATCACAGTAAGCAACAGGATTTGAGTTTAAATTGCAGGTTCTCTTATCCTCATACATGTTTAGTCCCTTTTTTTCTGGTTGTCTTAGCTCTGCTTCTAGGAAGGGTAGCATATGCACTTACCTGAAAAGATACAAAAACATTACCAAACTGAATTTGAAGCAAAATTTCATAGTTGTTGCTAGGGCAACATAACAGAAATAAAAACAATCTAACTAAAAATAAAGCTTAGTTTTCTTTTGGCATAATTGAAGAATACTTGCATAGTACATTTACCCATCTTGGCATGAAACATTCACTAAAGGATATTTACATGATATTTATTTTATCAATGTTTAAATCACAAGTTCGTGAAAAATAAGAGGAAGTATATTTGTAATATCTTAAATAAAAAACTTGTGTGTAAAATCACCAATCTACTTGCTCATAAACATGAATAACAATACTGAAAAAGGATAAAAAACACCAAAACAATAAAATAGCTTGGCTGATACCTACATCTGTGTAAGTTTCTTTGAATATAAAAAATACCGAAACAATAAAATAACTTGGCTGATACCTACATCTTTGCGAGTTTCTTCAGTAACTTGACGAGTCGACACACGCACTTTTCTTGGAACTCTTTTTGTCTCTTTTCGAGTTTGTCCAATTTCATCTGTTTCACTAGAACTAGAGAAGCATGCTTCTTAGCCAATGACAAAAATGAAGAGCTTACAAACTATGTATTGAACAGACATTGGCTACAAGACTTGTGAAAGAAAGATACTGTGAAGTCAAGTAAACAGCAAAACATATTCAGACTGCAGCAAGTTTTGATGTGATTGTATTTTCTAATATCTGATTATGTCTCCTAAGAAGTACTTCTTCATGACAATATGTAATAAAAATTTCTGAAGTTAGGCCATTTGGAGAATCAATCTAAAATTAGAGTAAAATAAATTCCATTAGAAATCTTTCTTTCACTATGCTCACAATGAACAAGAAATCCTTCTTTAACCATGCTCACAATAAACAAGACAGTTAACATTTTCCAAACTGAAAATGTATCTCAGATACCATATCTTACCTCCTCTCATAAAATAGCTTTTCTCGATTAGTACTGCCCTCTATTAGCACAAATTTTCAATATTTGCCACTAGCCTTCCACCTCCTGCTTCTGCATATCCACATGTAAAAGATTATGCAGCAGCTCTCCACAAGAAGAAGCTTGACACAACCCTATTGTAACCAGCACCCTCTCCACAGTTGCACTTGTTAATCACTTTGAGATTGGTCTGAAGACCTACACCACATACCATCCATAGTGGGGAGGCTGGGTGGGAAATGTGAGTAGAGGTAAGTATCTATCAGAAATACATTTTCAGGTTAGGAAAATGTTCTCTTCTGATACGATAACTTACCTTTTCTCACAAAATAGCTAGAATCCTACATTGAACTGGTGGAGGGCCGGTGGAAAAAAATTAACCCCTTTAGGAAGCACCCAAAGAGAGACCTTTAGGTGTGGAACCAAAAGAGAAAATATCACACCTCAGTGGGAGACTGCACTACATCTGATCCAGGAATACTCTTCACTTTTTTATGACTGTGTCGCAAACATAAAAAAGGCAGAAAAACATGAAGGAATCCCATAATACATATTACTGATGAATGGGATCCCCGGGTGTCAAATGCCTGTGGTGCAACAGGCCGTAGTGGTAGTGCGATCTCATCCAACACCAGGTGGTATCTGGAATGGTACAACAGACCATAGTGGTAGTCCAACCTCATCCAACATCTGGTGGTATCTGGAATGATACAACAGACCATAGTGGTAGTTCAACCTCATCCAACACCAGGTGGTATCTGGAATGGTACATCAGATCTGTGGTAACAGGAATCGGTAGGGAAGACAAGCTTCTTTACCAAAATCCATCTCCAACCTAACCAACACCTGATCCACCACAACCAACATTGAGTAGATGGTAGGAAGGAGGAAAGCCCTGGTGGGATGATATCTTCGATCAAAAACCTAGCAGCATTGGATATGGTTCTTCCAGGCCACAGTAGGAGGAGGATACCCAGCCATACACAAATGAAAACATGTTCTGTGTCCAGCTACAACCAACACCAGATCCGCCAAGAACTGACATCCAGCAGACAGTAGGATGAGGGACTGCAGACATGGAGTGCATCTCCAGTTCAAAGTCTAGCAGCATTGGGCATTTTTCTTCCTGTCCATGGTAGGAGGAGGAATACTGGCCAGAACACATGTGAGTACTTACTTAGCTGGACTATCTCCAACCAGCACAAGACCCACCAGGAATGTACATCTGGAGGATGGTAGGAAGGAGGAATGCCACAGAGGGAAAATACAATCTCTCAGATAGATATACATTAATAAGGCATAATGCTACAACCAAAACCTAGTGGTATTAAGAACTGTACGTCAGGTCTGCAGTAGGAAGTGCTACACGCCATTAACACCTGCAGAATGCCACCACTCTATTCTCAACTAAGTGGTATGATGCATCACTCAGAAGGACAGACCTCCATGATGGCAGTACTTATTGAGAAAAGCTATGTGCTAGAAACCTGTCTTTAACCAAGCTCACAATGAGCTAGAAACCTGTCTTTAATCATGCTCATGATGAGCTAGAAATCTTTCTTTAACCATGCTCACGATGAACAAGAAACTTGTCTTTATATGTGCTAAGGTTAATTTAAATCTTTATAGATCTTTCTGAGATTAATGTGTTTGGTTACAAAAATATAGATACATGTTAACAATATTACAAAAAATTATGTAGTTTGATATAAAAGTTCCTTATTCATCAATTAAATTTCTGAGAAGAATACATAAATAAACAGCAGACAGTGTACAAAAACATTAAATTTTCAAAGAACAAAATTTAACTAGAATTTCTGAAGTTATTGCAATGAAGTTTGTTTTCTACATAACCATCAACTTTCCATTTGGCTTTCTTCAAAAACAAAAACTTTTAAGAGATATTACAATAGAAACTGACCTTTCCTCATAATTTTGTGTGTGATTTCTTTCTGTTGCAGTCTCTTGGAAGTCCATTGGTCGGTCCTCGCTGCTAAGTAGAGCACCATCAGATTGCCACCTGTGTTGATCTTCTAAGCCACTGTCAACAGCATCTAGCCAAGAGAGTAAAAGAAATAGAATATATTGACATCCAACTGTATTATACACAATAAACCCCTTAAAAAGAAAAAATGTTCAATATACGTGTAAAGCTAACCAGAATGTATTAATCACTAGTTTAAAGTTGTAGAAATAAGCTGATATGAAAACGAAAATTGTAAATTAATTTTAGCTCATCATAAACAGAATAATACTATAAATTATACAAATGAGAATAACTATGCAGTTTAATAATTTCCTCTAAGCCTACTTCCAGGAGTGTGAGTGCAGCAAAGTAGCCATGACTGAAAATGTAGGCTACTGTAAAATTGTCTGTAAACAGAAAACTCCCACCCCCCTATGCTTTCAAGGGAATTCACTTTTCTCTCATTAGCAAATACCCACACGTTTCCATACTGAGATTCTAACACTTTTCAGAAACATTAAGATAAAATATTGCTTGTTTCAGTACAAATTACTAGAACTGTATTTTTAATTTGAGTAACTATAAATGAATCCCTTCCCTTGAAAATCCAGACTAGTACCCTGTTTATTAATACAAAAACTTGAAACTAGCATACACAAAACACCAGAAATATTTTCATAGATCCCCACGTGTTATTTTGATGCATTACCACAAGGTTAACATTATTTTTTTATGTACTTAAAAAAAGTTCACATTATTATTATTATTATTATACACTACCACAATATTAAAAATAGAGAAAACAAATACAATTACATGCAATTCCAATCAGCTTTGTTAGGTCTAAAAATGTTTACAATACACTTTACTTTTGTTCAAGAATGAGCATACGTTTGATGATCAGTCTACAATAACCCTATCGACACGAGTCACAGGTCAAAGGCCATGTCATCACGTTTGTTGACTTGCATTCAAATTTTATTGAATGACTATTTTATAAATTTGGTATCAAACTGTAGATTATACTTCACATTTTAATATTATACATTAGTTAATTTTTTAATTAATAAATAACAAAAAAAAACGAAATATCGATTTTTGTGTGTCACGTGGTATTTTGAATACAGCACTGGTTCAAATAAGATGTTTGTGATGGCCAAGTGCAAAGTTTCTTACGAATTATGAACTCAACTTACTGATATTAACAAGCTAGAATATAAAATAAGAACCTTCCATCTTTTCTATTTGCTGAGATATCACTAGGATTACTGAAGCAAAAACAGTGGCCTCGCCCACTTTTTTCCATTTTTGGAAATACTTCCTTATGTACACGTACTTCCGTCTATGACATGTGAATAACCAATCGATAGCTCAGAATGTCCCTCTAGTGGCTTTCTCAACCATTTTGAAGTATTATGGTATCAAACTCATTTATTTGATACAAGATTTCACACTGGAATCTTTAGTGAGCTCAAAATTTCATATTTTTTAAGACCCAAATCCATCTTAGTTACTAGGCTTAATAAATTGTAGTGGAATTCTATAGTACTGATACAGTAATTTATGATTTTTTGGTTATTTTAAATGTATATATATACAACTTAAAAAAATTTTGTTTTACATCCTTCACGTGTAAAATCTGATACAACTTAGTAACTTACAGCATGCAGTAAACGAGTACAAAGTTCATAACTAGAAGAAATAATTGTTTCCTCTACTTCTTTAATTATTGTTTTATGTTTTAACAAAAATAACTGAAATTTAAAAACTTGTTTGTAAATAGCAATAAGTTATATACATATATAATGTATTATAACTGAAATGCAACTGTATTTTACAAAATACTACTCCACTAAAACACAACCAAGAAAGGTCATTTTGTAAAGACCAGTTATATCTTCTTGGATGCGGTAACATAAGTGCACGTGCGCCATGTCATTGCAACTTCTGGAATGTTAGCCAGAAGGTAAATATAATAAAAATAAATATACATAAATGTACAATGTTATGAGATTTAAACTATCTACACTAAACATTTGTGTTTTCATGTTTTAATTTGTAGCCATTCTAGAATGAAAAAAGAATAATTTATATTTACTTCCTAATTTTTATATGGTGGTTACGAGGTCAGTCAAATCGACAGAACCCGTACAGAGATTCGATAGTGAAAATAACAGATAAAATATAGTTTTTTCTTAACAAATGTTTGATAACTTTCTGGAGGTTATAAAAATTTTACAGGTGAAATGTGAAAACTTTTTGATGCATAAAAGTATTTTTAATCTTAAAATCAAAATTACTTTGCATGTTGGATAGGAGAAAAACATTATTTAAAAAATCTTAAAACTTAATAAAAACATCCAATATTTTGTGTACGAAAACCTTATAACATTTACTGATAACCTGCAAAATTTCATGAAGATACGCTTACTAATTTAAGTTATAGCATGAAAACTATAACAAGCACAAAATGATTATGAGGTAGGTCCCACAGATCAAGCTTGTGCTGAAAGAATAAACTCATCTTCTTGCTCAACACAATTATGTCATCAACAGAAACAGATCTTACCATTTTGGCCTCCAGAATAAGGAACTTCATCAGATGAAAACTGCTGGTCTAAGGCCGTCATACTGTAACTTTTTCGAACATGGTTGACTATCGTCATTTGGCCCTACACAGAAGGTACTATATCAAGAAACTTATATTTACACACACATCAGGGGTCTTTCATGACTGGAAATAAGGTATTTTTAGATTGATCACTACTAATATGATAGCCACACTCTGCTACAACAGCTCCTCTCTATTCAAACTTTAAATCCTTCTCCTTTCCACTGCTATTTCACACCATCTAAACTACTTCTATTTTTTGGGTTATATCAACTGTGTCCAAGGAAATGCCACTTCAGCTACATGTTTTTCTGGTGCTAACAAACTGCTGGAGACTAAGATCGTGGGCAATATATTGGGAGGAAGTTGCCTTTTGTGTTATTTTTATTTCAACAACAACCACAGCAGTACATTACTTAGTATTTTGACTGATACCTAAACAGTAGCTGTAAATATGATCTAGATTAACCAATTCAACATGGGTCATGGGTGAAAGGCCATGTCATCTTGCTGTTGACTCGCATTCACAATTTTATTGAACTACTATTCATGAATTTATGTTAATAACTTTGGTATCAAACTGTAGATTATAATTCAAATTTTAGTACTATATATTAATCAATTTCTTAATTCAAAAGCAAATGTATAAAAAAACACAGATGACATCCATTTTTGTGTGTTACGTGGTATGTTGAATGTAGCACTGGTTCAAATTAGATGTCTCTGAAGTCAAAATACTAAACTAAGTCTTTAGTTTTATACAAATTAGAAAATCAAATTACTGATACTGACAAGCTAGAATATAAAATAAGTGCCTCTTATCTTTTCAATTTGTTAAGATATTGCTCATGTAATAAATCCAACACAGTGGCACCCCGCCCACCTCTTTTCACTTTTGGAAATGATCCCTTATATACACTTACTTCTATATATGACATGAATAACCAATTGGAAGCTCAGAATGTCCTCCTAGATTAAACATTTAGTTACTAAGCTTGATAACTTAGTGGAATTCTATGGTATTAATGTAATAATATGTTATTTTTTTAGTTATACAAATGTATATATAAAACCTAAAAAAATATTTTATTTCATATCCTCCACGTGCAAAATTTTTAAAGGCTTAGCAACCTACTTTAAACAGCAACCAAAGTACAAAGTACAAAGATAATTGTTTGCTTTACTTCTTTAGTTACCGTTTTAAGAAAAATAAGTTTAAGAACTTATTTCAAAATAGCAATAATCTATATACATATGTAATGTATAATAATTGAAATGCAACTTTATTTTATAAAATACTAGTCTACTAAAACACAGCCAAGACAAGTTATTTTGTAGACCAAAGGTCAGTATTATGGCATTTGATACGGTAACATGAGCTGCGTCATTGTAACTTCTGTATTGTTATCCAGGCACAGCTTAAAGCTCAATATAATAAATAAATAAATATAAAAACATTGCTTTACAAACCTTAAGACTTAAAAAAAAAAATTTTATTTTGCTTATGAAAGAATTGTAATGTTTACTGATAATCTGCTAAATTTCGTTAACATCTGCTTACTAATTTAGAAGTTATAGCATGAAAACTATAACAAGCACAAAATGGTTGGTCCCAGGGACCAAGCCCGTGCTGAAAAAGTTAATTAGTCCTTACACTCAGATGCCCAAAGATAGTTACTAAAATTGTAACTTTGTTTATTGAATTTCCTGCAAAGCTACATGAGAGTTATCTGTACTAGCCATCTCTAACAGAGTAGAATGAAGGATCCACCAGTTCTTATCAAACTGAATAATGGGATTTGACTATCAATTTCAAAACACTCTTATGCCCCCAGACTGTAGAAAAATATTTTTTTTTTTTTTATGGTAACAGGACATGAACCAATAATCCTCAGATCCACAGTCTGGAATGCTAACAATTGGGCCACACTATGACCCATAATTATTATTACATTCTTATAAGCAAACACGTGCATAAAAAACAAATATGGAAAAAAAAAAAGAAGTTTTTCATTCAGTAATAAACATTTAATTTCATAACATTAGAGAAATCCTGTTAAAGATGAGTGAGACAAATTTAATCTGCTTACATGATTATTAAAATTCTGTTAAACATGAGAGATAAAGAAACTGAGAAATTAATTTGCTTACGTGATCATTAGATTTGTTACAAATGATTGATAGAACCAGTAAAAAAAAAAATTAATCTGCTTACATGATTACTATTAAACATGAACGACTGAGAAATTAATTGGCTTACATGAACATTAGTAAAACAATGATCACAAGAATATTACCTGAATATTGTCATAGACCACTCAACTTGTGAAGTAGAAAAACTTTCTAGTTATTAGACATTCTTGGAGATTTTTTTGGTGTTTTTAACCTACTTACTGGACTTGACAAAAATATAAAAAACAAAACTGTCACCGATACATTTTTTGTTAAAAGATGATCAATGCTTCACAGACTTTAAAACACTAAAATTTAGATCACTAGACTGTTTAACAACCTAAAATATTACTAGATAAACAGAAGATTTCAAACAAAAGTCCAGTTTATTAACAGAATCTGTATGAACTACAGTGTTCCTAAGAGAAAGCTCACCCTCAATGCAGTTTGAAAAAGCACAGCTGTTGCATAACTGAGACCTTTACTGCTGAGCTGGACCAGGGATGCATAGCCTCTGTCTCGAGCTGTGGCTATATATTCATCAATTTCCTATGCAGAAAAATTACAAATATCACTATGCACACAGAACAAACAAATAACTACATACCCCCCCCCCCTCAAATCAATAAACTCACAGCTATATACACTTTATTAGTTACTGTAATAAAAACAGTTTGTGGCCTCCATGTTTATCTGTACAATAGGCTTTGAAAAAACACATGAAACGTGACACGCCAAGCGAACTAGAAATGGTAAGTCAGAAAAATTATACTGTACAGAATGACACTTGTCAAATATCTTCCAGAGTTCAGCTAGTATCAAATTGAAGCAATGTGTCATCATATTTACTACAGAGAAACAATGTCTACAAGTAACTTAGTAAACAACAGATGTGTTATATATTTTGGTAACCAATATATGCTTGAACCCACCCAGTATACAATATATACTTTAACTAAACTCACCTGTTCTCTCTTCATAAATTGAGGATGTACAAATTTCCTATACAGAATACTGGATCCTTTAGTAGCTGGTGACAAAAGCCACAATACAAACAGGATTTTCAACTCATAATAAAAAGGAAGCCTGAAAGAAGTCAAAGGTCTTTAAAATTAAAGGATTTAAAACTTTCATTTGTTTTAGTTATACTCACTGTGTGAACACAGAGAGAGACAATACTAAAAATAATGTTTTAATTACATAAGGTCTGATTTATTATTAGCTGGAAATGTATAAAAATGCACACATACGATGTATGATAGGTACTGTACTTCATATAATTATTTTATAACCTTTGGTGTTGTATGCCTGTTGCCAGAGTATAGATAAGACATACATTTAAATATTTTTCAAACTTTTAATTCCATTCATCACAATTATCTTGTGGTACAGTGAATGTGTACTTACTCTTATCATGTTTAAATGAAGTAACTTTTAACACAGAATATAGAGACAAAATACAGTTAAACATTGCAGCAAGGGTCTTAATACAAAACTGTTCATGTTTTCAAATAAAAAAAAAGGAAACTTTTCATTTGTATAGATTTGTGCTTTTAAAAATACAACTTAACTAATTTTTAATGTATATTTGAAAGTATTCAAAATACATTACAAACTGCATCTTACCATTATTTAATACAATGATCAAATACAGAAATGTCTGCTTGTGACTTGAGTTCTAGGTTCAAGCTTCAGTTCAATTAAAATTTGATGTCGAGGAACTCACTTTGAGACTAATAATGGTTGGAGATGGCTTAAATTACTTAACCTTCTGATGTGCTATAAAAGGATAGTTCAACTTGTGGAATATGTTCTCTACAGACAACATTCTAAGGTCCATACTGTGTTCTTTGTCAGGTTTCAGAAAATCAAATGAGCCAAGTTCTGACACAAAACAGCAGTAGTGAGCTCCAACACTGCTGACATTTCATTTTTGTTTGAACAGTAACCTGACTCAATGATATTATTTATAGCCAGTGACCTGGCTCATTCTTGCTTTATGTATAACTTGATTTCAATGTAAATATTAAAAAGTACAAAATTTTATTTGCTATTATTCACTCTTGTTTACTTACCAAAATGAGACTAGGATATCAGACAAAGTTTCAATACAAGTAAATAATGCAAACACAATCCAGTACATCATCCACTTCACCTTGGAGAGGAGAAAAATTACTTTAGTGTGAACTTCTGAACAAGATAAAACTTCCTCATTGTTCCCAACATTTGAAATATTTTAAAATAAGCTCATATTTCTTTGCAAGTAGGTAAGCTCAAATCTTAAATCAATCCACTGCTAACATTTCTGAATTAGTTACAGACTTAAGCTCAAAAATTTCATAAACAATCAAACCTCATCAAGTTCAAAGTCAATTTTTACTTACCAAATTTTCATTTATTTCTTTTTCCTGTTATTATGAAAATCATGTACAAAGGAAGGACAATCTTACAAATAATTGAATCAACTACTCTCAACCGATATTTATACACATTTTATTACACACACATATACTTTGTTTTCAGAAGGTTATTAATGAAGTACGAGTCTGGGATTTTCAATAACAAGTTGACTCTTTCACCTTACCAGTACAAATATCTGCCACTAGAGTTGTCCAGGATAATAAAAGAGCTTCTCCAGCGAGCTCTTCAACTTCCTCATTTAGCTTTATTTGTGCATAGCAAGGCACATACATCGGGGTGACGGTCTTAACTAATATATATTATACATACATTTTGCTTCAGGATGGATGGAATCTTATTAAACATTTAGAGTTTGCTACTTTTTTTAAATGATATATATACACACACACACACTTTGTTTCCAAAATCATCACATACTTCATTACAAAAACCTAAATTAATGTATTTTATATTAACTTCTCATCCACCAAGTAATGAATCTATAGCCAAATATACTGTTCTTACTTACATATTCCTTGACGTTTTTTGTCTTGATGGCTTTAAAGGAAGCATATGCTGGATAAAGCGTACCGAACACTAGTCTGTAAAGAAAGTAACAAGTCTTAGCACAGCTCTGGAAACAAGCACACAAAAATAAACTCACAAATGCTACATTCCCTGGAGTAACTTTGACAGGTATACATATGTCTACCATGATCTACTGTGGCATTGTTTGTTCCAGATTCCAAATAAAATCACTCATCGGGTAAACTCATCACATCTGGATGTTTCTTATGTCTGTCCATAGAATGTCCTCACATTGATGTGTCTCCATAAAGACAGTTTAATTTAGTTTTCTTTCACACACTTTTTCTCATTTACATCACAAAAGATACAACAAATATGATTCAATAATGTGACAAAATCCACCTTTGTCACATTCTGATGCCACTATCCAACATCTCTATTATTTTCTTCCATAAAGCTATAAAACTTCTCCTTTTTCTATTGGTTTTTATGATTTTTTTTCATACTGACAGTCTACTAGAATTTAGATTTAAATATCAAAGACAAATTACTAATCTGTACTTATAACAGACCGTCTATAACAAGCAAATCAAATAGTAGTCTTCAAAGGCCTAACGAGTGATTTAGGAACTATATATTTGTTTCGTAGTCATGGCTGAAGTATCTTGTTACAATGGAAGAAAAAAAAAAGGATGACACAAAAACATCCATCGGGAATAATTCGTGGCGTGAAATGGGTGTCGGAAAAAACTAATACCAATACGCCGTATCACATTACAGAAGTTCGTTAAAATGTTGCCTGGAAAGGTAAACAAACACTGTTAGACAATACAAAATTTCACTTCATGCGGAATTACTGAAGGCACGAGTCAATCGTCTGCCAGGGCGCCATCATCTCTACATCCAGTAGCATCTCTGCACTGCCCTCTCAACAATCACATCAACGATACACTGTACGTAATTTAAGAATCATTTTTTTAACACTCCAAATTTGGTCATTTCTTAAACCGCTTTCGTTGCCAGCATGTGACACAGTTTGTGTTAAAGATGCTTCAAGACGCTGTATATTATTTTATCTGACGACAAGAACAGTACGAAGAACGCAGAGAAGCATGTCTGCAGCGTCAGCTAAAGTCGAAAATAGGAACTAACTAACACAAGGGAAACAATCTGGTGACGGAATGACATGCAAGTCACTAAATTTCCTTACAGCAAATTCTTGCCAAGATGCTGCGGTTAGTTCTTGCCTTGAAACACATTGTCTAAAAGCATTATTTAAACTTTTAAAAAAGGTACTCTATATCTTATCACTATGTCGCTTCTTTTAACTGTAGATTTTTTCTTTAAAACGGTACAATACCCTTACCACAAACAAATAATCATGTTCGAAAATTTATCTTACATTAGAACTCCGTCAACAGTTGTCCACTAAGCCAACTTCTGGCTTCGGTTTATAGTTTTACAATTTGAAAAACCACTACTTAACGCACACAGTTCAAGAAATTTGATTCGCTTTTTAACTCTAGAATTACCGATTTGGCTTTTTCAACACTGTTTTTAATAACTTGTGCGCCGAAATGACTGTAGGTCCATGAGCCACACAAAAAAAAATGTAAATAATAATACAATAACATTACAGTTAAATCTCATTAATTATTGCTGGATGTATTTTACTTAGAAAATGGGTTATCTCAAACAATTCTTTACACCGAGTGTTGTAACACGCAATAAAACAATTTTTTAAGAAGCCCGTAGTTAAAGGTTAAATATATTTTACTTCAGAATTGCGCCACTAGGTGTGCACTAATGCAACTTCTGGTCTGCATATCGGGATTTCGGTCGCATTATCGTTAGTCAGGTGCAGTTTAGATATCTTCGACTCACTGAGGCAAATTCTGGCTTCGGTTCGTTGTTTGAAGTTTTAGAATATTTGCGTAAAGCTACACTATTTATTTCGGAAATGCACTCAAAACTACATAGTCTACCTGCGCTAGCCATCTCTAATTTTGAAGTGCAGACAATAAAGAGATAAGATAGTCAAAAGCGCCCACCGCCAACTCTGAATTCGTCATTCTTGTAACACATCAACGGCCCCGTACTTTGCAGCAAAGGGATGCAAACCACGGACTCTCACATGCTATAACTACAATGCCTTGTCTTACACATTAGTAAGAGGAATAGGTATTATATATCACGGAGTTTTATTTACGTGGATTTCCATTATATAAGATATGGAGGAACTTTTTATTTTCATCCAGACAACTTTCATCAAAACGTTTTGTAGTTCAAGTCGATTTTTTATTATAAGACTGACATTTGATTTTATGTTTCAAGGAACAACACTGCCCTATTTATACCTATGGTAAAACTATTTAGGCTACCTGGAGTCATCATCAATATTCAACTACTAATCAGAGCCAACCAGCATCGCACTTCCACACGCGATAAGGGATTGATTGTCACTCTTATAACGCATTCACAGCTTATAAAGTGCGGGGAATATTTTGTGGTTAGACTTGACGCGATACCCTTAAACATGCCTAGTACTTTAAGTTGTGAACGGTTATAACAGCAGTATTGTGAGTTATAACCTAACTCGACAGATCTGAAATTCAGAGCTCTACCACAAAACCAACCCGCACTCTCTCTTAATATCACCTTAACATAACTATCCAATTGGCTGTGTCCTCTGCTTTATTTGTGAAATTACGCTACGTCTACAACTGAATCATCAGTTGGATAACCTCGCTAATGAAGGGATTTTCGGCCGTAAACCCAATAATGTCTTGCGAAATTCGGCCAGCTTTGGTAGTCTTACGTTAATCCTAAGTACACATACTAAGCTGAAATACAAAATAATCTATATAAATGTAAAAATTAATTATGTTAAAATTACTTTAACCATTATAAACAATAATGTTAATAAGATCAGTACACATTGCCAAAGAAACTGGCAAAACAAATACGGAAAAACATTCGTAATTAGGCCTTTTTATCTAAGCAACTTTTCTTGTAGCATGCATCACTAGTCGTGTAATGTGAAATGGCTGACGTCACCACTTGAGTCAACTGGTTAGGACAAAAACTCGCTTTTGTATGTCATGTGAGCACTTGCGTTACAGCGTTTTCTTTATTCTCTGAAAATTTTCACCAATTCTACAGTCATATTTTCCAAGTTTGTAAACAGAAACCTTATCAAAACACACTAACTGGATAAATTTTATGTTGAAGTACAGCAAGAAACTGGAGAAGAAAAAAAAACTTTGAAAAATTTGTTTAGCTACTGCCTTATCTGGTTGAAAAAGAAAAACTATAGATGATCGGTTCCTATTTGGTGGTCATACATAAACTGCACTAGATTAGACAGTTAGAACTTTCAAAGGGGCGTTGATTTATTTGAAATAAATCGCAATGCCACCAAGATTAATGCCAACACTGGCACGTGTTCAAGATCATTATACTTCATTTGTTTTGTTTTTTTCGTTTGTATAGCAAAGTTAACTCTGATTCTGAAAGCCTTACGCAGCCAAAGGTTTTAAACGGAAGATTTAGGTCACACTTAACGCATGAATTACGAGAAACGATCAAATGCTCCCGAAAAACAAAATACATGTAAAAGGAAAATACCTGCTGAAAAAAATAGGTTCATATCAGATTTTTTACTGTTATTATACGTCTTGACGTACTTTAAATAGAAATACGATCATTTACCATGTACATAAAGAAAAGTAAGGAGAAAAAAATCAGTATGCATTACTAGATGTACTTCCGCAGAGTCCCCCCCCAAAAAAAATGTTTTGTTTCAACAGTAAATAAAACCAAAATTAAGAGTAACAAATAATTTTATTTCTTGCTTTAGAAGTTCATATGTCATGCTGTGTTGCAACCTACAGAGTATATAATTCTTCTCGTGATTCATGGAATGCACACGTTTTACAGTACAAATTACAACGTTAAGCGTCCTTTATGTGACGTCATTTTAGCTTCTACTGACAGACTGAGAACAAACACACTACTGTATACTGGCGCGGATGATTAAAAAAAAAAGGCGACCCCTCCAGGCGGCTTTCGGGAAATAAATAGAATTTTAACAACAATACCAAATCATCTTCTATAATCTTAATGTAGAGCCTTAAATTACAACTATATTAATCTATTAATAACACAGCAAGACCATCTAAAACTATACTAATCTGATTTCAGACAGCATAACACAGCAAGACCATCTAAAACTATACTAATCTGATTTCAGACAGCATAACACAGCAAGACCATCTAAAACTACACTAATCTGATTTCAAACAGTATAACACAGCAAGACCATCTAAAACTATACTAATCTGATTTCAAACAGCATAACACAGCAAGACCATCTAAAACTATACTAATCTGATTTCAGACAGTATAACACAGCAAGACCATCTAAAACTATACTAACCAAGTTTCAGAAAAGTAAAACAGAGTAAGACCTTGATCTAACACTATACTAACCAGGTTTCAGAAGTATAACACAGTAAGATCTTGATCTAACACTATACTAACCAGGTTTCAGAAGTATAACACAGTAAGATCTTGATCTATCACTATACTAACCAGGTTTCAGAAGTATAACACAGTAAGATCTTGATCTATC